TCTTCTAAGAGTACGATATCGAAATACACTCAAATGCCCCAACTGGGGCAAGTACACTTTGCCAATGGCAAAATCATTACTTTAGTTGACGAAAAATGTTCCACTTCGAGTGATTCTGAAATGAAGGAAAACGACGGATCTTATACGGACAACGTAGAGGAACTCCCTGACAATGTTCGACACATAAAGCGAAATTTGCAGATAAAATCCTTGTCTGGTGCACAATTTCTAACAGGGGTGTATTCCAACCTTTTGTGGGAATAGTAAGCGATGAAGCTCTGTATAGCTATATTGACAACTACCCCTCCAAATTGCTTCAGTTTCTCCACGAACATCATGCTAATGACCAGGCGGCAGGAAAGCCCGAGATGAAGAACAATTACGAAAAACTGAGAGAAACTGATCTGAGTTCCGTCCAGGACCTCACGAGAGACATTCAAAGAAGGTCGCGTCTGGTAGGAGGAAGATTCGATAATAATGCATTAAGTTGTAACTTATGATAACTAGTTAGCGTTTAAATAAATAAATAATTATAATAATAATAACAATAATAATAATAATGTTTATTGTCACAAAATACAAGTAAATATCAAATATTGTGCACAATAAACATAAAGCACCCAAAAAAAGTTTGCACTTGTATTTGGGTTTGTACAAAATAAAAACTAATAGTACAGTCAGTGTATGAAAAAAAAACCGTTAATACTGTATAATTTGGTGAATTATTATGGTAATGTCAGGAAAAATATCCAGACAATTAGAACTAAAGTAAAAGTACGTATATGGATGTTATTGATTTTGATGATGGTTTTTCAGATCTACAATTTCGTGGATGGAGTACCTTGGTTGTTGTAAAATCCATTTTTTTAAGTCTCTTTTAAATGATTTATTTGATTTAATTACTTTTAATGACTCTGGTATGAAGTTATAGAATTTTGGTCCCAAGAAAAACAGAGATCGTTGTGTAATGGTTTTTGATGTTTGTGGAATACACATTGAATTTTGATTGAATCTTGTTGGCTAGCTATGAATGGTACGATTAAAGTATTTTGAAGATTTGAAATAATGTATTAGACCACAATAAAAATAAATTTGTGTGCAATCTAATAGCTGAGCCTCCACATATAGAAATAAGTAATCTCCCTATGGAGGATCAATTTTAGAATTAATTTTTGGATTACATCAACCTTTTTGTAATTATTATTCATAACTCCCCCCAAGCCAAAATTCTGTAAAGTAATAGAGAATAAACAAGAGCATAATATAGATTATATAGATATTTCTTATCTAAAATATCTCTGAAGTACCTGAATTTTGGAATAATACATCTCAGTCTCTTCACAATGTCTTCATTAAAATTAATCCGGTAAGTATTTTGTGTCAAAACTCATAAGACATACGTTATGCAGACACATCTTTAGATCGTTCATAACTTATATTTTCAGTGCATGCTTGGTGAGAGACAGTGATCCACATTGTAGAACATCCAGCGAATTTTGATGCAAAGTAAGGGAAATTTTGGTTAACACAGAGATTATGCAAACACATGACCTTCCTAATGAACAAGACTTGCCTCCTCGTGCAAACTTCACGAGATGAAAAGTAAATACATATTTTATCCCACATCATAATTCATTTGCAAACAGCAGCCTTATAGGTCGGTGGGTATGGTGCAACTTGCCCTTCCGCTTTGGATCTCATTGGGAAATAGTAATACAAGTGAGATCACTTCTCCCATATATCTGTTCAATGTTACATTTCTGAAATGTCTTCAACATGTTGATTTTCAGAAGGCATGAAAGTCGATCACAGCAGTCACTAAAAAGACGTATTAAAAGTTCATGAATATGTCTGACCATCTCTTCAAGTAAATACACTGTTTGTAGAGGTATACTTTATCTGAAGTCACTTGAAACACTGTGAAATACCGGGTGCGTTTTATATATCTATATTTAACACGCTCTGTTGCTGCAAAAATCGCCAAATTTCGCAGCAAATATCCCCCGTATAAGATCAAAGGCAGTTTCACCGGTCCACGTGGAGTAAAGCACGCCTATGCGTGGACATAGCCAATGAGAAAGCGTGTATTTCAGAGCTCCGAACAAGTGCAGGTGGCTACTGAAAATTGAAACAGTTTAGCCAGTGCCGTGTAGCGGTGAATAAACGTGTTTTCTTTAGTCTGTCCGTGTTTTTTCATAGATTTTATTAGTTTGTGTGTTTTTGACTTTTGAATACTCAGTTTACTTGTTGATTTAATTGTTGTGTTGATTGTTCTTGTGTGTCCTAAATATGGCTCTTTGGAGACCTTGGGAAAATGCTCCAAGCCACGAGGAGATGGTTGATGAACCTGTGCAGGCAGAATTATTTCATAAAGATTTAGAGGAACAGACCCAAAGAGTAATCCTAAATATGTATGATTGTCTGAAAAACGAAAATCCAGATTCCTCGCAAAATCAAATTTTAAACAGAATTTGTATCCTGACAAAAATCAGTCGGTCTACCATTTATCGGGTTATAAAAAGGGGAGATGTAGTCAACCATTCCTTCCACCGAAAGCGCATAGGGCAAAAATTAAAAAGAAATAGACGTGGGTTTTCAGGAAGATATTCGTCGTATAATATACGGATTTTATAAAGAAAATTTGGTGCCCACGTTGTAAATGATACGGGATAAATTAAAAGATTATCCTGAAGATTTTTATAATTACAAATGCTTAGACTCACTGCACTGTATTGTAAAACTGTGTGGTTTTCAATACAAAAAATTAGATAAAAGAATGGTGATTATGGAGTCGTCTCGAATCGTTGAATTGCGCCAAGAATTTTTGCACAAAGTTAAAATCTATAGAGAGCAGAAAAGAAATCTGATTTACCTGGATGAAACGTGGTATGATACCCATGATGTTGTGCAGTACGGCTGGGTTGACGACAGCAACAAGTGCATTTTAAATGCACCATGCAACCATGGAAAACGAACCATTATTCCCCATGCTGGCAGTGAAAATGGATTTATACCTAATGCCTTGCTGTTATCTGCCAAAAATATCAAAGAATCATGTGCCGACTATCATGAGGACATGACCTCCGACTTATTTGAAAAGTGGATAGAGCAGCAGTTAATACCGAACATTTCCCCAAATTCAGTGATTATTATGGACAATGCGCCATACCATTCCCGACAGAAAAACAAAATTCCGAATACAGGCAAAAAAAACAAGACATTATTGATTTTATGAAGGATAAGGGAATGGAAATACCACAAAAATCAACCAAAGCCATATTATTGGATCTTATTAAAAGACAAAAATTTGAAAAAGAGTATGTTGTTGACAATCTGCTTCAGCAAAATGGCCATGAAGTATTACGTCTACCTATTACTGCATTTTTAACCCGATTGAGTTGGTCTGGGCTGCTTTAAAAAAAAAGTAAGAAAACATAATCAGACCCCTCAATTAAGTGAATCGCTATTGGCCACAATAAGAGATGCAGTATCTCATATTGCTGCCACAGACCTATGGAAGCAGTGTTCTAGGCATATTATTGAAAAAGAAAATGAATATTGTGTTTTGCCTCCTGTAAATCCCGTTGTAATTCCTCTACAAGATGACTCTAGCGACAGCTCCGAAGGCGAGGATGATATATAAATACCTATAATGTAAGTCTTTATATACGTTTTTATATACCTACCTGCTATGTAAATATTTGCCTATGTCAAACGTTGGAATTCTGTAATTTTTCCATTTCTTAACTTTCAGTCAACATAAATTAAACTCCCGATATAAGTATTTTTTATCCCAAATCAAAAAAATAAGAAGATAGTAAAATCCATTTATTGTGATATAAAAACATTATTATTATCATTCTAAATAAATGACCGCACGCCTATGATACGTCATGAAATTACAAAGAACGGGCCGACCAAAGGTTTTTATGCTATTTCAAGTGACTTCAGATAAAGTATACCTACATACTGGAGACATCGCCCAGCAAACTTGCAGGCAAGTGTGTTATTAGTTACACTTGCTGACTCCAAAATCGATCTAAGGCCGGTACGGGTATGTAAAATGTCATCTTGTAGACTAGGTAGCTTTTAGGGCGCAGATAGTCATTCCACGTTTGATCCCTAGGATTGTTGTGACCGATCATCTATGCAGGAATGACTCACACGCATTGTTGGTTGCATATGTCTTGTGAAGCCTGGTGGCATGTAGTTTTCATCTCTGAGAAGAACGTTGGTTGAATAGCAAGATCGCATCTGGATGATTATGTGTATTGGTCGACATATGTATAAAATCAGTGATATTTGCTATGTCAGAAAACCATTACTAAGTACGCTCATAATGAAGTATATCTATTAGCGCTGTCCGACGGATTATTTATATGTTGTCCTTTCTGAAGACAGGTTATGTTCAAAGTTATAGGGTCAAGTTTTTTTTGTGTTTTTATCACGGGGCTTGTAATTCGACAGTGTACATAGGATATAATTATTTCTTATCCCTCTCGTGTGTGTGTAATTACGGTTAGCATGTATATGACTTGTAATTCGACAGTGTAGTACACAAGTTCTCACTATGCACCTATGCATTGCCATTTCCTTCTAGCTATCAGAGCCAGACATTGATATCTGAAGCATCATGACGTTTAGGCAACACGTAAAACTACAAAACGAGTTCAGAAGTGTCCAGCTAGTGCTAAGTTAACATCTTTTAGAAAATCCTAAAAAACAACTCAATGTCAAAAAACATTGTCACCTTTCGAGATACGTAATATCTATTGGAATAGATAACAATATAAATGAAAATCTGTGAAGTAACGCCATCTAGGTTGTACTGTGTGTAACTATGTGTAGCGCGGTCAACTGTCATGTATAAAATAAAAGTTAGTCTATTACGGAAAAGCAACGTGTTTTAATAGGTTATGGGCGAATATCCGGAATTTTCGGTTTTATTACTGTAAACTAGTGTAAAACAGTCGAAAATTGTTGACCTTTTTCGTGGAAATATGGCTGTGAACTATATTCCAAGCATTCCGAAACTAAAAGGACGCGAAAATTATGATGAGTGGAGTTTTGCTGTCGAGAATCTGTTGGTGCTAGACAACCTCGTGAACTACATAAAGTCGGAGCCAGAGGCTAATTTCCAGGCAAACGCATCAGACGACGCAAAAACCAAGGCGAAGCTAGTTTTAACCATTGATCCTGGATTGTACGTGCATATAAAGGAAACAAAAACATCTTTGGAGTTATGGACAAAACTGAGAAGCATGTTCGATGACTCAGGTTTTTCCCGTAAAATAACCCTACTCAGACATTTAATCTCGTTACGGCAAGAAAATTGTGATTCTATGACTTCATACGTTACGCAATTGGTCGAAACAGCTCAGAGATTAAAAAACACAGGATTTACAATCACGGAAGAATGGGTGGGATCATTATTACTAGCAGGTTTGCCAGAAAAATTCTCGCCGATGATTATGGCCATCGAGCATTCGGGACTGCAGATTACCACCGATGCGATAAAGTCGAAGTTGATTGATATGGAGGTTTCAAAGAATGATGTGGATTCCAGCGGCGCAGCATTCGCTGCAAACAATTTCAAAAAACAGAAATTTAAAAATGGCGCGATGTCATCCAGCAGAGTGACAGGTGACAAGATCATTTCTTGTTACAAGTGTAAACAAACGGGTCATTACCGAAACCAGTGTCCATTGTTACAGAAAAACAAACAATCAAATGCTTTTAGTGTGGTATTCTTAAATGGTAAATATAGTAGGAACGAGTGGTACGTAGATAGTGGAGCAAGTGCACATATGACGGCCAACAAAGACTGGATAAAAAACGCTAACTTTACCCCGTGTTTATCCGAGATCACCGTCGCAAATAATACTAAAGTGCCAGTTTTGTGTTCCGGAGCGTTCAGATATCAACTAACTATAACTACGACATCATAGTTAAAGATGTGCTATGTGTACCGAGCTTAACAACAAACCTGTTGTCAGTGAGCGCGCTAATCAAAAACGGAAATAAGGTTGTTTTTGAAGAAAACCAATGCTACATTCGTAACAATAAGAATGTATTGGTGGCTACAGCAATGTCAACAAATGGGGTATACAAGCTAAGTATCAATATAGCAGATTGTATGCTGGCAGCACCTGTTGTAGCAAGTGCAGAGCTTTGGCACAGGCGGTTAGCACATATTAACAGCAATGATTTGAATAAAATGAAGAATGGCATTGTGGATGGATTGTCCTACCCGGATACTAGTGATATAACAATGACTAAATGTGTGACCTGTTGTGAAGGTAAACAAATGAGGTTACCATTTCTTCAAGTTGGACAAATAAGTACAGAAACACTACAGATAATACATTCCGATGTATGTGGTCCCATGGAGACAAAGTCCATAGGTGGTGCTCAATATTTTGTCTTGTTCATTGACGATCACAGTCGTATGACTTTCATATACTTCCTCAAATATAAGAATGAAGTCTTCAATATATTCAAGAATTTTAAAGCAATGGCTGAAAACCAGCAAAATCAGAAAATAAAAATATTGCTCACGGACAATGGTGGTGAGTTTTGTAGCAGTGAGATGGAGAATTACTTACACAAAGAGGGAATTATCCACCAGAAGACAACTGCATACACACCTGAGCAAAATGGTGTTAGTGAACGGGCCAACAGAACTATTGTAGAGAAAGCACGATGTTTACTTTTCGATGCAAAACTAGAAAAGAAGTTCTGGGCTGAAGCAGCTAATACAGCAGTATACTTAAAGAATAGATCTGTGACTTCAAGTTTGGGAAATAAGACACCCTATGAAGTGTGGTACCAGAAGAAACCAGATTTAAGTCATATTCGTCTGTTTGGTAGCCCTGTAATGGTTCACATACCAAAAGAAAGAAGATTAAAATGGGACAAGAAAGCCCAAATGAACATTCTTGTGGGATTTTCAGAGACAGTGAAGGGATATCGTGTATATGATCCTATAACAAATATTATAACTATTAAGAGAGATATAATAGTGATGGAAGAAAAGAAAGTATCATCAGAAAAGATTGAAGAAGACACAGCAGAATGGATACAGAATGATGTAGAAATTGAAGATCATGAATCTCCTACAATTAAAGATGGCAGAGATTCAGTGGGGGAGCCTTCAGTGAATGAATCTCTCCATGACTCAGATTCGCATACATCTGTATATACTGATCCATCTAGTGGCAGTGATGATGATACAATGACCACAAACACAGATACAGATGTCTCGCTTAGTGAGATTCAAGATATAGCGGCATTACAAGAAGAAAATAAGAGAACACGAAGACCACCAGATCGTTTTGGGTTTGGTAACATGTGTACTACTAATTCTTGTTCAGAAGCCGAACAAATAGATTTTTATGAAGCACTGAATGGACCAGAAGCTGATCAGTGGAGAGAGGCCATACGAGAGGAACTTCGGTCATTCGAGGACAACAATGCATGGGATATTGTTGATATACCAAGTGATGCATCAATTGTGCAAAACAAGTGGGTCTTAAATAAAAAACTAGATGTGAATGAAAAAGTGCGGTATCGTGCGCGACTTGTGGCTAAGGGTTTTTCACAGCGACGTGGAGTTGATTATGAAAACACTTTTTCTCCTGTTGTTAAACATTCTACACTGAGAATGTTGTTTGCTCTAAGTGTACAGTGGGATATGGACATTAGACATCTAGATGTTACTACAGCATTTTTAAATGGGCATTTAAAAGAAAATATTTATATGTCATTTCCGGAAGGATTTGTAAATAAGCAAACAGGTAAGATCTTGAAACTAAAAAGAGCTATTTATGGATTAAAACAGTCTTCTTTGGTCTGGTATGAAAAAGTGAAAGATTGTTTGCTTAAACTTGATTTTAAATTGAGTAAATTTGAACCATGCTTGTTTACATTTTTTTGTGGGAATGTCAAGATTATAGTAGCTGTCTATGTTGACGATTTTTTAATTTTTTCAAATAGTACTTCTGAGACTGAAAAATTGTGCAGTGAACATTCCATATCAAAAGCTCATTGGAAGTCTTATGTATTTGGCAGTTTTAACTAGGCCAGATTTGTCATATACTCTTAGTTACCTCAGCCAGTTCAATAACTGTTATAATGAAACTCATTTTAGCTATGCTAAACGAATATTAAAATATTTACAGAAAACCAAACATTATTGTTTAACATATCAGAAGGATAATGTAGAACTGACTGGTTTTGTTGATGCAGACTGGGCTAGCGATAGTCTAGATCGTAAGTCTTATACTGGGTTTTGTTTTGTAATGAGCGGTTCTGTGATTTCCTGGCAAAGCAAAAAACAAAAGACTGTCTCCTTATCCAGCACTGAGGCAGAATATGTTGCTCTCTCAGAGGCATCTAGGGAGGCTGTTTACTTAAGAAATTTAATGTATGAACTTATTGGTAAAAGAGGGATTATTAAATTGAAATGTGATAATCAAAGTGCATTAAAATTGGCAACAAGTCATCAGGCACATGCTAGGTCAAAACATATTGATGTTCGCTTTCATTATGTTAGAGATGCAGTTAAAAATAAATTAATTAATATTGAATACATTTCAACTCAAGAAATGCCCGCTGACTTGTTAACCAAAGGTCTTTTGTCGACTAAGCATTATAAGTTCATGGACATGTTGGGATTAAAGGCTAAATAAGTAAAAACATGTATTTTGTTTAGAAATTCACATTTATTTTGTTATGTGGGGGTATTGGAATAGATAACAATATAAATGAAAATCTGTGAAGTAACGCCATCTAGGTTGTACTGTGTGTAACTATGTGTAGCGCGGTCAACTGTCATGTATAAAATAAAAGTTAGTCTATTACGGAAAAGCAACGTGTTTTAATAATATCCGTGCCGGATTCTCAATCACTGGTTTACTCTCAAGTTAGGTAACTATGACTAGGAAGTTATCTTTTAGTGGCCTATGAATTTAGCAATTCATAAACCAGTGCTTTAAAGGCTGAATTATGGTGTTCTATGCGTTTTCTGATGCTAACTGCTTTGTTTCAGTGAAAGCACCATAGTTATCCCATACATGGTCCTCTCGTTGAAGTAATACATCGACTTTGGAACAAACTTAATACTGAAAATCGCTTTTCGGGAGTTAACTTCTGGTTGGTTGTAAAGCTGCAGTTAACTTGCGATTGAAAAACTGAAAGTCCATCCTTATTAATTTTCCAGGATTTTGTTGTAAGAACTTTTGATTATTATTATTATTACTATACATAGTAGAGGAGTTGAGGAAAAGCTATAAACTCCAAACTAAGACAAGGAATTGAACATAAAAAAATAAGTTCTTGAAGCATCTTTAGATAAGGTAGAGACTGGAGACTATTTATTGCCCAACAGATACATCCATTTAGAGGATAATGTAATTGAATACAATTTGACATTACAGTATTTTTAACTACAATCATAACTCGCCCAGTTGCTGAAAGAAATGGAAGAAAAAATGAATAGATACACCTATTCACCTACATGTCTCAAACGTTATGAATTAAATAATAGTAGTCGCTAAATACAGCTAATATATCTTTGATCTTATCATGATGAATGTCACAATTGTCAGTTATGGTGTTAGAGCTAGAGCACATAAAGTATACGGGCGAGAAATCTTCGGGAAATGCGGGACGGTACTTGAAAATCAATTTTAGCTAATAAAGCTGAAGAATCAACATCACTGTGCACAAGTTTGTAAAGGAAGTTTAAACTATTACAAACTCTTCTCAGCTCAAGAGGATGCATTTCAAATCTGAACAACGATTGGAATAAACACCGTCTAATTTGAAAGTCAAGTATTTAAGAAATCGCCTCTGTACACTTTCAATTTCATTAGTATAGATTTGGTAATATGGATGCCATACACTAGATGCATATTCCAGCTTCGAACGCAGCAAGGTGCAGTGTAAAGCCTTCAGTGCCGTTTCACTACCAAACGATTTATAGTTTCTTATAAAAAAACGAGACTTTTTATAGTGTATGATACTACTGTACTAATATGACCTGTAAATTATAATTTAACACCAAACAACACACTTAGATATCTTACTTCTGAACAACTATTGGATTCGTTTTCCTGGTATAACAACAGGTTTTGCATTTGCTAACATTCAAGAATAATTTATTAGTTGAACACCATTCGAATATATGATTCAGGTCAGCTTGGAAGATTAGAAAGCCATCAATTCTGTTAATCTGAGCATATATTTTTAAATCATCGGCAAACAACAGAGAAGGACAGGTTAAGCAGTTTGGGAGGTCGATGATACAATAAAGAAAGAGAAGAGGGCCTAAATTTGATCCCTGCGGTACACCGGATGAGGCCGAGTAACGTGAAGATTTGAAACCATTGTAAGAAACGTACTGATTTCTATCATGCAAGTAAGAAGAAATTAAATCTAAGAAATGGTTGCTAAAACCAAAATGCTGGAGTTTACCTATGATTCTTTGGTGACTAATCTTATCGAAGGCCTATGAGAAATCCATATAGACCACATCCATCTGACCCCTATTATCTAAGACCTCTGCAGTTATGTTAGAAGTAGTAGAGCGATTGCGCATAAATCCATGTTGCGTCGCAGATATCAGATGCGAGGTCAAAGGA